TGGGGCAGCAAAGGGAAGCAGAGCAGCACGGGAGCTGCCGCAGCTCTGTCGCGAGTGGCATGCAAGGAGGCATGGCCAACACCTCTCTGTCCCCCCCAGGCAGTCACCCCCCAGGCCCGGCTCGTGCTCCCCGAGCCACGGAGGGGACGGGGACATGGGGAGGGACAAACTGAGCACTGCAGGACCCAGCAGGGAAGGAATCCTCTAAGCAAGAGCAGCATCTGGGACACAAGAGAGAGGGACGCTCCTTGGGGACCGCCGTCCCCATTGCCTGTGCCTGCATCCCTGCCTCCTCCGCAGCCCCTGCCCAGCCCGGTGGCCCCAGGACCACCCTTGGGCAGAGGTTTGTCACCCAGCCCCAAGCCCCCAGGCAGGCCCCCACGGGCAGCAGGATCCAGCCCTGTGTGCTGGTAGGGGGGTTTGCTTATTGCCTATGTCCCCGCGGGTTTCTCTTCCCAGGGGTGTTGCATATTAAGACATTATTGCATAAATATATATATATATATCTCCTATATATATATTGCCCTGGGAGCATGCACGGGCAGGCAGAAGGCTCTGCTGTGCTTCTAGAGGTTCAGCCACAGCTGCAGCGCTGCAGCCCTGCGAGCAGGGAAACAACCCGTGCAGAGGAGGGTGAGGGGGGACAGACCCCCGCTCCCCAGCCGGGGGTTGGAGGGCCTGCTGCTGCCCTGACCAGCAGCAACGCAGGTAAAAACCACACTGGGTTGTGCCCCAACGCCCCTGCTCGACACCGGCAGCGGAAGGGAGATGGAGCCTTGCATAGCTGGCGGTGACCCTGGCTCAAGGCCAGGGGACCAGGCAGGACCCTGCTGGGGAGCTGGACATGTCCTGAGGGCTGGGGCTGGGGGTACGAGCCAAACCCCAGGGGACGGGGCCAGCTTGGAGCATCCCCACCATGGCTGGGGAGCACTCGAGGCCCCAGGAGCTGGGGGGGCATCTCACCCCCTCCAGAAAGGCAGGAGCATCCCAGGAGTGTGGTCTGACCACGCCACAGTGCCACGGGCTCCCACCCCATCCCCACAGCAGGCACCCCGCTGCAGCCGTGCCCCCGCAAAGGAAGACTCGGTTCAAGTAACACGGCGAGGGACGTGGCTAGACGGGGCCGGGCGATGCCACGCTGCTCCCACGTCCTGGCATCCCGTCCCACCGGCGGTGTGCTGGCAGGATCTGTCCCGCTGCCTCCCTGCTCAGTCCATGTTGGCGCTGGCCGACCTGGAGATGTTCAGGGTCTGGGCAGAGACCGAGATGTCCTCGTGGTCCACGGGGCTGTGGTAGTCGGAGGTGATGTCGGGCTCACAGGGGGGCACCTGCACGGCGGCCAGGCTGAAGGAGTTCACGGAGCCCTTGCGGAGGCACTGGGAGTAGAGGCCGAGCAGCAGGTCCAGCTTGTGCTCGATGGACTGCACCTGCAAGGGCGGGCAGGGCTGAGCGGGTCCTTCCCCGCAAGGAGGGGGACCCGGGGATCCCAGCTCCCCCATCCTGCAGGCACCAAAGGGACAGTGACGTGCTCCCTGGGGGCCGTCCCCTCCTGACCTGCCTCTCCACTTTGACCACACGCCCCATCATGCTGAGCTCGTCCACCAGCTCCGACTCCAGCGCTGGCTTCTCCACCTTCTCCCGCATCTTCTTGTCCGCAGCGAGGGCCCCCCTGCCCACGATCTGGTCCACGCTGGCAGGGAGGGAAGACCCCATCACTCCCAGCATGTGAGACCCCCACAGGGGATGGGGCCCTGGGAACATGTCCCACCCATCACGATGGGCCAGCACCCCTCCCAGCGGGCACGGCTAGGGGTGGAAGACCAGAGCCCCCCCACCGCCTTCAAGGCAGCTCACCGCATCTGCAGGCTCTTGATCCTGCCCAGCATGTCTAGGTGGCCAGCTGAGTACTGCTCAATGACATCTTTGACGTCGTAGGGACGTAAGGTCTCCTTGAACTTCCTCTTGGCCACCAGGAACTTCAGGATCCTGCAGGGACACCCAGGCTGGCTGCAGGACACTGGGGAGGACTGGGGGTGCCTGGGGGGCTCTGTGCCAGGGGCATGTGCAGAGCACCAAGGTCCTGATTGCCCTCCCCATGGGGGAATGAGCCAGGAGCTGTCCCTGCTCCCTGCCCGGCCTGGCCACCACCATGGGCTGGACTGGGGCTCTCTGGACGTGTGCCGAGAGCCATGGAGGAGCTGGGGGACACTGGGGGACACAGGAGGGGACGGTCTCACCTGACAGCCCGAATGAGGGTCTTCACTGCTGGCATGATGTCCTCAAAGGTCAGGTCACAGTGGGAGCTCTTCTCCTCGCTGCTGTCCTCCGGAGGGCAGTCAGCTGTCGGTGCCAAGAGTGGGTGGGTGGCAGAGACCAAGGGCTGTTGTGTCCCCCCCAAAACTCCTGCAACCCC